GCGCATTGCACTCCTTGTGTATACAAATTTCTATTTCTTTACACTCAGCTTAATAATTATCTTTCCAGGAAGCTATCCTCACCCTAAACTGATTTTTAAGTAATGTACATAGAAAACTTGTAAAACATAGATACAAAGAAAGGGAAGGAAAAATTACCATAAACTTTTAACCCTGATATGACCATTATAACTCATGCTTTTCCTTCCAGCTTTTTGAGGCCTATTTTATTTACACAATTGAGATTTTATTGTACAAGCAATTTTGCATTCTGTTTTTATTGGCTCTGATACTATTTTTTGAGCATTTTCCCATCATTAAAAAATAATTTTAATGGCTTCATAATATATTGCACCAAGTTGGCTTACTTCAATAAAACTAATCATTCTTCCATAAGCAGAAATTCAGAAGATGTAGTTGATTGCCTGGGCTTAATAATTAACTGTATGATATGATTGATTCTCACACCTCTAATTCTAGACCTCTCTCTGGCATCTGGATCTGTATATCTCTTGGCCTCTTCACCAGGGCATCTCATAAAACTTAACCAGTTCAAAACTAAACTCATTATTTCTATCCAGGATCTGTCCCACCCTCCCATTTTCCCCAAACCTTCTGTATCTGTTAATAGTGCAATTACTCACCCAAGCTCCAAGCACTACATCTCCCAAGCTAACAACCACTGGGTCATCCTTGACTTCTCATTTCCTTAAACCTTCCCCAATTCAAATTCAATCTTTACTAAAGTATTTTGACTCTATCTTCTAAGTATACTTTGTGTCTTTCCTCTCCAATCTGCTGCCATTGATTTAAATTGGTTCTCATGATTTTTAGGCTATTGAAATGGTCTGTAGAATATATCTTTCTGTCCACAGACTCCTCAATTCCAGTTTCCTCAGATTTTCTTCATAATTGTTAGTTACCTTGGAAAAAGGCAAACATCATCATGTTACTACTTAGCTTAATGTTCCTTAGTGGATCACAGGATCCTTCAAAACCAAGTTCCAATCCATTGGCATGTCTCCATACTAGGTGTTATATATATGTATATATTATGTTATTCAATCCTGCTCTTAACCCTCTGAGGGAATAATTCTTGCTTTTCCACTTTATATCAGTGCTTCTCAGAGAACTATATTGTTATTGTTACTTATGTGTCTATGTGTCTGATTCCATCCCCAGATTGGAAACTTGGAAGTTAAGCTTATAAAAATTAAAAACTGATAAATTGTCTAAATATCTACTATGTTCACTATAGGTTCAAGGTAGGAAGAATATTAAAAGAGAGAGAAGACTAAAGAATAACAATCTTGTAATAAAATCATAAACAGAACCAAAATAAAAAATGTTGTTTTACATTTCTAAATTCCTTTGGGATGGAGGTGTATGATAATTTTGTAAAGTTCTTTGTAATAAAGCCTTTGCTAAACTAGTTTATTTATACCAGTATTTCAATGAGTCTGCAAAAAATGTGACGTATTACTGCTTCTGTGAGCTTACTATATATAAACTTTTCAAGCTTAGTTGATTAATGAATGTTGGAAAAACAATAAATACATTGCTAAAACATTATTATTCTAAGAATAACTCATGAAATCACAAGCAGTAATCAATAGAGCTACACATTCATCATTTCAAACATGAAACTTAATGGAGCCTTGAAAGTAAGCAATAATTACCAAAGGAACACTAATGTAGAATTGATATTCTGTGCTAACAAATCAATTTTGAAGCTAATTGAAAAGAAACTTTGCTTTGAATAATACTACTATGAGGTATGGTTATTGTTATGATTTTTATTATTATGTTAAAGAATGTTCTGATGCCTTCATTTTTCAGGTTACCTCGTAATATATATCCTCTTAAGGCAGGATTATAGTAAAAAGTTTTACAATTGAAAATGATAAATACCCTTGGTATCAAAAGGTCTATGCCTGAAAAGTCTGGATGCCATCAGCTCCTAATCTCTAAAAATTTTCTAAGTTGACTTTGGGAGGGTAAAATGATACACGGTTCCATCATCAAGCCTGCTGCTGAGTGTCACACGTTGCTGGTTTTCCACTTTCTCTCCATTTTTATACTCTACTTGCAAACCCTACAGCTCTCCCATCTCCAGCAGAGCAACCCTTTCTTCTTTGAAAACCACAGAGTCCATAAAGAACCCTTAGCCCTAGTGGAGAGAAAGCAGGGAGATGATTTCACTTTCTCTCATTTTCATCATCTATTTTCTTTTTCCTTTTTTCAGATCTAGTGATGGAAAAATAAACAAACACATCAAACCTTTGTCATTGCAAGACTCATCCTCCTGGGCTCTTCTAACATTTGAGTGTTAGAAATAATAGTAGACTAAAGCAAAATCATCCTGTTGAATTTATCTTGGGTTTCATTATTTTACAATTTAAGAATGTGACATCTTGCCATCTTGCCAAATGCAAATTGACCTACTATTGAAAGTTAGATGAGGTACCTCAGACACAGTTATTTCTTTCCAAACTTTCCGTCTACCACAAAATGTTATTTTCCATTTGGCAGTGACACCTAGGAGCTCTGTCTTCACTTATTAATGCTGTTGAATCTGAAGTTATCCTTGTCACAGGCTGATTGCCAGGCCACTTCTGAGGTGACTGGTATTTTGTTCAGTGGCTCTGCCTCTCTTTGTCATCTATATATAAGGAACTGTCTTCAGTGGTTTGCTTATTCTGATGCTTTTAAAAGTGTTAGTTCCTTGACTGTAGGAATCTAGTGGCTATTAGTGTTCACTCCTAAAAGTTCACCTTGGCTCCATTCTATTAGCTACCCTTAGCTTTTTTTGTGTAATTAGGTTTCATGTATCCTAATGCCTAAAACAGAGTATATTTCTAATGAATAGTTGGTGAATATTAGATGCACGTTGTGCAGATGGTCAACTGAAGCTTCTGCTAGGACCATAGCTAATATGTAAGTACCTGCATAGGTGCATAAGTTACCCTTTTAAGGCAAGGGAAATTGTTTCCTCTGGGCTCACTGAAGTAGGGCAGAAGTAGTTCCCCTCTGTTAGAATGTTCTCAGTTGAATTAACGAGAGTCACCTTATTTTTATACTTTTGGTATATACTCATTCTGTCCTTAATGGCTAATGGCAACAAATAACTTTCAGATTGTAAACAGATGCTGAGACTTTTTCCAGGACCAGCTTATCTTTGTGACTTCATACTCCTCTTCCTTCCCTAGAAATAGCAATTAACAGTCAACTTCCCTAGGACAGCAATGGTGGCCATATATTCTCAGTTGCCATAGTAAGACCCAGCCTTCATTATACTTAGTTTATTGGTCTAAATATTCAAGTTCCCCTAACACACAATATGTTACCACCTCCATCTGTCAGAAATTCCTTGCATCCAGTGACATAAAACTTGCAACCACACCTTTTCTTCTTCAGTTACAAAGTTCCTTACTGAAGACTAGAGGAAGATAATACCATTTGTTTTAAGCAGTATTTATTCAGTGGTATAAATCTTGCAAATTATCTTGTAGTCTGATGATGTAATTGTCATGTTACCTTATCTTCTGATACTTCAAACACAGGGCTATGGATAGTTGATGTTCTTAATATCTATAAACATGGAATAAGCTTATTAATAGTGACCAAATTACTAAGTGCTGACTGTCACAGTGATTGGAACACCCAAATGAGCTTCACCAGCCTTCTGTTCTGGCCAATATGCTTTTTACATACATTTATAAATAGTATATGTTTGAAGCTGTGTTGTTGAATATTATTATAGGTTTTATTTTGAATTTTCTCAAGCAAATTCATCCATCCATCCACTCATCCATCCAACTTTCCTTCCATTTATTCTACCTACTTGCTACAGCTCTAGGCAATAGAGATAGAAGTATGAAGGACATTCTTCCATAAATGAAGGAAACAAGAAAAGGAAACTAGCAAATGAATAAACAATTATAGCATAATGAGATAATTTTTTTGCTAAGAGAGCACAGAGGAAGGATGGCTGAGCCAGTTTGAATAGGTTCAGAAAAGGCGTTCTGGAAGAGCTTATCTTCACTGAGTCATAACGGATAAGTAAATAAGTTAATCAAAGAGCAGGAAAAGATGTATCAGGCAGAAGGACCAATATACACAAAGGCCTAGAGGTAAGAGTGTAATTTAGAGTAACTGGAGCAATTGAATACGAGGAAGGAAAAAAAGTGGTGAGGAGAAGGAGAGATAGATGAGGGGTAAGTCAGGAAAGGCCATTATCTTAAGGAGTGTAGATACTTTTTCTTGAAAGTCATTGAAGTTATTAAGGATTTTAAGGTAGAAAATGACATCAAATTTGCATTTTAACTTTGGAAAAACAAAATGGAAGGTGGCAAAAGTGGAGGCAGAGAAATAGTGATTTTAATAGCTGAGGCATGTGATAATGATAACCTAAATTAAAGGAATGGAGATTAAGAGAAGGGAAAACAGATTTGAGAGTAATTATTGCAGTAGTAACTTTATATTTACTTATGTAATTATTTGATTAATGGTTACCTCCTTGATTAAGTATAAGCTCTATGAGGACAAAGATAGGGTTTATTTTTGCCCATTACCATATTTCTTATGCTTAACACAATTCCTGGCACAAAAGTGCCTAATCAGTGTTTGTTGAGTGAATGTTATAATGACTGAATTAAATAAGTGCATTAATATGACTGTGTATTATGCACTGGGCAGTATATTAAGCAGTGAGGATGCAGTGATACACAAGCTAGGCAAGATGCCTGTTCTCAAGGGCAAATTTTAAAAAGGGGAGAGACAAGCAATAAATAAGAGAATTTTTCATAGTAATCAGTGTTATATAGAAATTAAAATAGAGTTTGCAAAAATGCCTGGGGTTGGAATGGCTACTTTAGATTGGAGGGTCATGAAGATCTTTTGAGGCAAGTAACATTTGACTTGAGATTTGGATGATAAAAAAGGAGCCAGCCTCTAGGGGCAGGGAGTTCCAGACAGAAGGAAATGAATAAGCAAATTAGACAGATTTGACAGAACTTGTTGACTGATTGGATGTGGGAGTAAGAAATAGGGCTAAGGTGATTCACAGGATCTAGAAAATGTTATTTCTATTAACTGAGCTTGGTGATACCGGAAAAAGTACAGATAGTGATGTAAATAATGAGTTCAATACTGAAACTGCTGCTTTAAGGCACCTGTAATGTACTTAAATACATAGATGATAATTCATCTCTAAAATATACTCTATTTCTCAGAACAGAAAGGATATGAACCATGACTCTAAAGAATTATTACAGTAATGTTCTCCAAGTGCAAATCCTTAATTAGAAATATCTTCAGTTGACTACATTTGCTGAAAGTCTTCCAAACATCTGCTGCTATTTAGGGCCAGTAGACTCTGTTCTGATGATTCAGAATTTTCTGTTAACGTGGACATCCAAAGGTAACATGACTATTAGTTATTGGTAGGCTTTAGTCAAGACTACTTCCAGGCAGAAATCTGGACTTTTCTACTGTACCCTCACTATAATGAACAGTATAAATACACAGTTTTAATTTCTGATTTTCTTGCAAAAAGTTTCACATCTGTTGAAAGAAACCTGATTCTTTTTGGGTCCCACCCACTATTTTTATCCAGCAAAATAACCTATATGTCATTATCTAAGAACACACTACTAGTTCTCTATGTTCAACCTATACTTGAGAGTCTGGTTCAGAGCTGTGTAGTTTACTGCAAATATTTTTCAGTACTATCCTGGGCCTTAGACTCTTTCCTTTATGTCATAGATGAGAAGGGTGATAATTAGATTCCTTTACTGAGGATACTTTTGTGGTTAATTTTGGAAGGTGTTGTGCTGACTAATGACCATCCAAGGTACAAAGTGCTCTTTGTGTACAGACATGCCAGAGACTGCCCTGCTACCTAGATACATAGCTAAACTGACTTCATAATGAAATATTATCTCAACAGAAAAGGCTCAACTGCAAATGAGCTATGATCGCACCACTGCATTTTAGCCTGGGTGACAGAGTGAGACCCTGTCTCAAAAAAAAAAAAAAAAAAAGGAAGCTATCAATAAAATGAAAAGATGACCCACAGAATGGGGGAAAATATTTGTAAGTCATATATCCAACAAGGAATTAATATCCAGAATACGTAAAAAAAACTCCTAAAACTCAAGAAAGAAAAATTCAGAAATGGGCAAAGAACTTGTACAAATATTTCTTCAAAGAAGATATCCAATGGCACATGAAAATACATACAACATCAGTAATCATCAGGGAAATGCAAATAAAAGCTACAATGAGGTACCAGTTAACATTCATTAATATGGCTATTATAAAAAAAACAGAAATGAATGTGTTGATGAGGTTGTGGAGAAACTGGAATCCTCACACATTGCTGGTGGGAATGTAAAATGGTGTAGCTGCTGTGGAAAATGGTGTCAGTGCTTCAAAAACTTAAACATAGAACTACCATATGAACCAGCAATTCCATTTCCAGGTATATATCCAAAAGAATCGAAAGCAGAAACTTAAAGAGATACTTGTACACAAATGTTTGTAGTGGCATATTGACAATAGCCAAAATGTGGAAACAACCCAAATGTCCATCAACAGATGAATGAATAAACAAATATATCCATGCAATGAAATATTATTCAGCCTTAAAAAGGAATGAAATTCTGATACATGCTACAATAGGAATGAATCTTGAAAATATTGTGCTAAGTGAAAAAGCCAGACACAAAAAAACAAATATTGTATGACCACTTATGTGAGGTACCTATAGTAGGCAAATTCATAAAGACAGCAAGTAGAATAGAGGTTCCCAAGCACTGGTTAGAGGGGGAAATGGAGAATTCGTGTTTAATGGGTATAGTTTCTGTTTGGGATGATGAAAAGTTCAGGAAGAAGATAGTGGTGATAGTTGCATAATACTGAGAATGTACTTAACAGCACTAAATTGCATGGTTAAAATAGTAAATTTTATGCTGTATATATTTTACTACAATAAATGGAAGATATACTTGTCAAAATTTAAAAAAAAAAGAAAAGGCTCAACTACAAGTAATTTGACCTGATGAACCTGCCCTGTTCTTCAAGTAACTTTTAAAAAGTATCAGAAAGCTAGACTGTAGCAACTGATTTTATCAAGTGTGGGTAGGGCCTGATAGGCACTTGTCTCTGTCTGAACTACAAGAATATCTGTGATTTCCAGGTCAAACACACACAGACACCGCAGGATATAAGGTATAAAGAAAGGAGCCTCTGGTTTAGAATTAAGATTCTCCATTAGCTTCTTCTGTCATGGCTAGTCTAGCTGGAAACTTCCATGGACAGCTAGATCCTGTCTGCTTTTTTAGTTCTGTGACACCAGCTTAACACTTTACTCCCTAGCAGATATCATTGAACTTGAGTTTCTACCTCCTTGGATGTATTCAACTTTTATCACTGCTATTTACTAGGTTCCTCCTTTTTGGTCTGATTTCTGCTCCTATCTCTCTGTAAGCTGAACCTGTTAAATTGCTTGTCATGTCCAGCAGGACTCAAAATGTAGATTGAATCTATTACATTTTAGGAGTCAAAGTCCATTAAAAAGTATTTGTGATTCTCAAGTCACCACTGCAAGATTTTTACAGACACTCTCATTTTTCTAAATCAATATGTTGAGCCAAGGTCATAGTGAGTCGTATCTGTTGCATTGTTTAAGAATGCCATTTGCTGAACGTATCTAAAGAATATCATCTATGGACATTATCTAGAAAAATATCAACACTGTTGAAGATGTGGTGGAACATAATGCAAAAATTCATAAATTGCCAATAGTAGTTGGAGTAATTAAATGGCAGTCCTTTTCAACTTTTCTATTTGAAAATGCTTTGTATATACATAAAATTAAAATATAACTTATAAATTTGTAAATGTGATTATGTCATATATAATTTTTTCATTGTAGTTTTAATTTTTCAAGTTTTATTTGTTTGTGTCTTTTTTCCCCTCTCCCATCTAAGTTTACACCACATATCACTCTGACCTCAGCCTCAATTGACCCAAATACATAATCCATCATTTATTTTTTTCTCATATACACTTTAAGATTATTTCATTCAATTAAAAGATTTTTGAGAGTTGGGTTAAATAAATAT